AATCATTTTTTATTATTTTATTATTATTCATTTTTTTATTTATCAATTTTCTATATTTTTAATTTCTCTTTTTGATTGAAATATTTGTTTTTTAAGTTTTATTATTTTTTTTTTTTATTAACTTTATATTTACTTAACTAATTATTTATTATATTATTCTAAAACTTATCTCCAGCAACTATTTATTTTTAGCCTTCTCTCTCTCTTTCCCTATATCTTTCTAATTTATCAATTAATTTAGGTTGTTAAATATTTTAAAGTAATCTAACTGAAATCTCGAAATAAGTAAGTATATCAATAGATTCTCTAAACAGGTTTGTTAGAATTATTTGAAGCATATAATAGTGTTAGCGTGTTCAATAAATAACTTATTTTTATCTTTATCTTGCTGCTAATCTGATTGACAAACACCTTTTGGAATATGTTTTTTGCGTGAGTTATATGCCGACAAGTTGTCTAAAATTCAAGAAGAGAAGCCACAAAAAATACCTAGAGCTGCTCACGTTGTGAGCTGGTGAGCTCAAGACCAGATTAGCCATGTCGAGTCTGACACAATGGTGTAGCCCCGCACTTGGCACAGCAGAGCCGTAGGCTTGAATGCTTGGATGTTCGCATGGGCGCAGCTTGTCTGCGTCCTTGACTTTAAGAGTTGTCGTGATCTTTTTTCTGGTTTTCTGACAGCTTTTGTTTTTGTGGCTTCGAAACGAAAATAAAAGTGCCAAAAATGCAAATTCAATCGAATTTACTTAACATAAATTAAGTAAAAATGTTTTTGATTAATACTAAGACAGTTGCTAGCTGCTCAGCTCAGCTGAAAGCAACCTGTTGCTGGCATCTGACGCGGTTCAACTGACTCATCTCGAGCTTTTTGTTCGATGATTTGCTAGAAGCTTGCTTTGCGGCATTTATTTTACTGTTTCTGCTAGTTGTTGTTGTTGTTGTTGTGCGCTTTGGTTATTTATTAACATGTTTGTTTTTATTGCAACAGCACCAGCAAACGGACGGCACCGAGGCGACAAAAGCTGTCGCTGCCGCTGCCTCTGCCGCTGCCACTGTCGCATACGTAACCCAAAGTAGAGAAGAAGATCAGCAACTGCGTCAGCCCGGCTCGCAGCTCAAGTCATGCTCATCAGCGTTGCCGTTGACGTCGCTTGCCATTTTACCAGTTAAGATCTGCGTTTTGTATCTATCGCAAAACAGTCAAAATTGTCTGCTCGTTGGCTGCACATCGCGCTCGCTGCTAGCCTCTCCAAACGTACACGTAGTGCCAAAGGACACTACACTTGAAGGATAACCACTTACACACACACACACACACACACATAAACGTTCAATATGGCTAAAATTATTATCAGTGCTTTGTTGTGTCTGGCCATGTTTGGCTCGTTGGGTAAGTGCAAATCAAATTCCATACAAAAAGGAAAACAGAAAAAAAAAACATTTCACACCGAAACGAAAGACTTAGGCAACAAACTTGTGCACATAAACCACTTAAAGCGTGTTTTGCTACCCACAGAATGCGTTTGACTCACATTCTTCAATATCTTGAGTGCGTGTACACACAAAAATAATACAAATTTGGTGCAATGTGCCTAAAAACGTGTTAAATTCACTTTCATTACTTATTAATTAATTTTAAATTCTTTCACTAAATTAAGAATTCATGATTGATAGTTTAGACGTACAAAATGACCTTATCAAAAATAAAATAAATTATTGCTGTATGTAAATATTTGAATAAAT